TTTAATCAACATGAGTAAACACCAATTGAAGGTTCGCTTATCTTATTTCAGACACGCTCTTCAGTCTTTTCAAAATGATACGAGTATTGAAAGACTCATTGAATGCATCGTACGCTTTTAATCTCAACAAATTTTGGTAATGTCCCCTTCAGTGTTTTCAATAAATCAGTGCTTATCTTACTCCGCAACTCAAGAAAGAGTTCAAGTCTTTTGGAATAAAACAACCCATATCACCAGTAACATGAACCATCGCATGTGCGCCATCGTTATTAAAAATTCAACAGAAACGATTCAAGCCACTGCAGGCAACTATCAGTGATGCTTACAGTTAATACCCTTAAAACATGTACAAAAATGGATGAAGACAATTCCACCAAATAGAAACGATACAAAAACAAAGCAGAGAAACAACAAAATTGCAAATAAATCGACTTATTTAGCAAGAAAGGAAAAGAAAAAATAATTGAACAGAAAAGTTAAAATTTGCACTTCGTTTCAATATGAAAACAATGACATAAAACAATATTCATTTGTTCAAGCGTTAGAATCGAATAATTCATTATAGAAAGAAAACAACATGAAAGCATTGTATCAACCGAAATTCAATCAGTTCAAACAACATTCACAAACAATCTTTCAACAGCAACGAAAACAAACAATTTTACTGGTAATGGGACAGTGGAATCAATGATTCAGATTAATCTCTGAATGATTTCAATGATTTTATATCAATTTCGATATGAAATGGATCTGTTGTGAAGGCATTTATGAATATTTTAGCTGAATCATTTAGAATGAACAATTTCTGAGCATCATATTTCTGATAGCAAAATAACAAGATGTAAATAATCGTTAAAGGTTAACTGTCATGGTATATTACAAATAATGATTATGTATATGTTAATATATTTACTACACATATATAAACATATTACATATGAATATTCATGATTAACTGATTAGAAATTTGCATTGATATTGCATATCATATAACTTAGAAATCGTTGCGTGCAGCAGACCTTCACTCTGATGCGCACTCATAACGATATCCAGAATAGTGATATCGCTAGTCATCATTGTTATCATTATCATCACAAAATATCGATATACTTTGATCTCTTAACGAATGGGACATTATTGATACCAATACCTTTCAAAATCAACCCTGTTTGGTAATTGTTCGTTTTACAATAATCTCAACTGGGTTGTCAGCACTTTTCAAAAGGTTAACAATAGCACCAGGTGTGTAATTATTCACAGACTGTCCATTTACTTGCCAAATTTTATCACCAACACGCAACGTTCCATCAATATCTGCTGCACTCCCCGAACCTATCATCCGTATGAATATTCCTAAAAATGAATAAACATCTCATTATAGGAATACACCAATACATAAATAAACGGGTTCATAGAAAGTAAACTTTGATTGTTTCCAATCCTAAAACGTCATTGGAACATGATATTCATTCATACGTCTAATTCAGCTTTCCAAACAACTGATCACTTCTCTATGTATATACTTTCGTTCCCATTGCAAATCATTATTGGAAATAGTAATATCTTTGATAACCATAATCATGAAACTAATAATGTCATGAGAATCAAAATATTTGTGAAGTTCACAACACTCTCACCATCGTATCCAGTCTTCTTGGCTAAACTCAGTCCCAATGATCCGGTTGGAGATTTTTCGAGAACAACAGTGATCGTTTTTTCATTAGTGGTGGCATCAGAAGAGGACGTTAACTCGGTGCTGTAGTCAAGTGATCGTTGAATGCCAAGTACCACTGATTCGCCAGCACCTTTCAATAGCTCTACCACTTGCTGATGCGTTAAACTTTCGATTCGTTCACCGTTCACCTCAAAACACATCGATTTCAGTCTTTTGTTCCAGCAAATTCATTGCTTACCACGAAAACATGCTTTACGGTAAGCAAAAGGATGACAGTTTTGCTGTTCGGAAATGTACGATGAAGCAAATGATTTTTAAAAAATTTGTTATACAAATGGAAAGTCTTCCAGAGTAGAATGGCGACACCCTTTTAGGGATACGAAAATAATCCCACCAAACTTGTTTCATCAAGTGTTTAACGTTTAAATTAACTGACAAATTTATAATGCGATCAATACATATATATTTTTAATATATGAATGAAATATTTAATATTATTACCTATTTAATATTCATATATGAATGGAATGAATAAAAAAATGAATGATTGAACGATATCATCAACTAGCGATGGGCTGACGAACTCAAGGAATATTCGGATGAAAGAACAAGTAATCAAGCAAAAGAAACTAACCGTGATAATTCTATCACCGACTTGAATATTCGGGTTCGAAATGGCCGGTTCAGCAGTGATTTGTTTCACGAAGACAGCGCCACCACTCGACGCTATTTGTACCCCAAGGCTTCCGGCTTCATTTCGATCCAAACGAACCGCAATAACATCCGAACACCTTTCATCATATGAATCGTCCAGGTCATCGGCCCAGTCCGAATTCGTTGGCATCCTTAAAACATATAACAGATTCAGTTAGTTGACGTACGCCACTTTTATATTCGATCTATGTGTTGAATCACTAACTGTAAGATGCTGAAGCATCATCGTTTAATGCCGTACACCGATCGGAAGGCTGGCTCACTATCAGCTACTTTATGTTTCATACTGGTAGGCTAAACTTAGTGCCAATTGTGAACTACTTTCACATTGTTGACTAATAATAACACGAAGACTACAAAGAGTGATANAATACATCATCGAGTAGTTCAATCAAGTAAATCAAACCCGGAATTATCCATCATCCCCACAGGTGAACTGGCATCTGTCAAAGACGAGAGTGCTGTTGAAGGACGACCATTCGAATTCGACCATTTACTCGAAGTGATAACAATATGATTTTGTTGCTGATGGATACGATCCTGGCGTGAATAAGACGTACTCATCGCGTTCGATATGGAATAATCATTACTTCGATGCATCGCATCCTCGTCTTCATCATCCGTAGCTGTGTCAAATCTATACATCGAACTTGCCGGTAACTTCAAGTCGGCACCTCCTCCATTCACTGTTCCCTTATCAAGCGTCATTGGCGGTTTAATCCTGCAATCATTTATTCGAATTTGTAACTGTTGAACTTGCGAATGGACCGTTGGCTCATTCAACTTCATGAACGAATCACATTCATCGTCATCATGCAAGATATGCTGCTGGTAGATCTGACAAAAATTATCATTCATGATGGGCTTAGAAGATATCACATCTGAGTTAGCAAATGAAATTCTCTTGGATATTCGAAATGCAATTCAAGTACCTTGCATCGTTCCGGATGTGATCCACCAAATCCTCACTGTTCAACTCGGGTAACGTATCACCGACCGCACCAAAGTCACTCACCGCACGTTGACGTTTCTTGACTCCGGCAACGACTTTCTTCGGAGCAGGCGGTGTCCGCGAACGTGTTGTTCCGGCTGAAAATTTGCAAGTTTTTTTTT